TCTGGCATGTGAATGTTCAATAACTTTCATCTCAAGTTGGGAAATGCATATGCATTTAAAATTCCAGATTCCTACCACTTGATAAATCTCCTCGAAGATATTTACATCAAGGGTCTACAATATGGCCTTAAAAAAAAAAAAAGGAAAAGATTAAAAAGACAAAAACCCAACTTCAATATGCTTTTGACTTACTAAATCTTATGGTAAGACCATCATTCCTGAAAGCCTTCTCAGAGTAATATCGTTTTACGAAAATCTCAACGCCAAGATACAACCCCAGAATTTTGTTTCCTCACAGTATGAAAAATAGAGCTACAGCTCTAATGCAGCTCAAAACCGGACAGGCAGTCTCAGTCCCGGCAACCCAATTCCAGTCCAACCAGCAAACCAAGCACGACGGCCAGCTCCTCCCTCCTCTATGTCACCGACACTGGAGAGACGGAGAATCCAGACGGGGAAGAGTCTAAAGAGACGTAAAAACAGAGCTTGGGAAAAAGACATGGATATAGGTAAACTCTAGTTACGTATGAGAAAATAAGTACCGAGTCCTAAGTCTTGAGAAACCATAGAAGAATATAAAAAGAATGTATAACTTTTAATCAGCAACAGAAAGATACCTGACAAAAATTCGACATATCCAATGGAAGACAGGAAAAGATGGTGGGGGGGAAAAAAAAAGAAGAAAAAAGCACAATAAATAGAAAACATAAATAAAAGGTAGAAATAACTCCTAATATATAAATAATTATAATAAATGTACCATTTCAACTAACCACTTAAAAGACAGACTACTAAGTCTCAATGCTTCTATCAGTTTATGTAATTCTATGCCTATTTCGTTTACCACCGTACACTTGTGGCCTAGCCCAGTGTTTGACACATAGCAGGCACTCATTCAATAGTTACTGAACCAAATGAATAAACGAGTAAAAGCAAGCATGAAAGAGCAAACCCAAGAGTGGATTTCTCCTACCAATTGCTTATTTTCATTGAATTTTTAAAAAATCTTTTCCATTTACTCATTTATTTTTATTTTGCAGGGAAAGATTCGCCCTAAGCTAACACCTGTTGCCTATCTTCCTCCTTTTTTCTTCCTTTCCCCCCACAAAGCCCCCGTACATAGCTGTGTACAGTTGTAAGTTTTTCTGGTTCTTCTATGTGAGCAGCCACCACAGCATGGCTACTGACAGACAAGTGGTGTGGTTCTGCTCCCAGGAACCGAACCTAGGCCCCGAAGCAGAGCTCGCTGAACTTTAACCACTAGGCTACAGGGCTGGCTCTTCACTGACTTTTTTTTTTTTTTAAAGATTTTATTTTTTCCTTTTTCTCCCCAAAGCCCCCCCGGTACATAGTTGTATAGTCTTCGTTGTGGGTCCTTCTAGTTGTGGTATGTGGGACGCTGCCTCAGCGTGGTTTGATGAGCAGTGCCATGTCCGTGCCCAGGATTCGAACCAACAAAACACTTGGCCGCCTGCAGCAGAGCGCACGAACTTAACCACTCGGCCACGGGGCCAGCCCCTTCACTGACTTTTAATAAGACTAACATCTTAAGTTTTTATAGTTTTCAGTTATTTATTTATTTTTTTTAAAGATTGGCACCTGAGCTAACATCTGTTGCCAATCTTCTTTTTTTCTTCTTCTTATTCTCCCCAAAGCCCCCCAGAACATAGTTGTATCTTCTAGTTGTAGGTCCTTCTGCTTGTGCTATGTGGGATGCCACCTCAGCAAGGCCTGATGAGCAGTACCACGTCTAGGCCCAGGATCCAAACCAGCAAAACCCCAGGCCACCAAAGCGGAGGTGTGAACTTAACCACTTGGCCATGGGGCCAGCCCCTATTGTTTTTAAAGGAAACCCCCAAACACCAGTCTTTGCTATACAGCCACTTTTAATAAAAGCATTTATCTTTCAATAAATATAATAAATGATGAGCATGATTTCTCACAATGAAAGACTTACCTAAAAATTCTGGGAAACTTTAAAGTATCTTAAAATCTCTAGTAGGTGCCCATGGCTTCTCATACCAACAAAGAGACAAGAGAGGAAGGGCTGGGGCCCGCCCCGTGTCCGAGTGGTTAAGTTCGTGGGCTTCACTTCAGCAGCCCAGGGTTTCACCAGTTCGAATCCTGGGCGTGGACACAGCACCGCTCGTCAGGCCATGCTGAGGCGGCGTCCCACATGCCACAACTAGAAGAACCCACAACTAAAATATACAACTATGTACCGGGGGGATTTGGGGAGAAAAAAAGCATTAAAAAAAAAAAATAAGAGGTAGGCCTGCAGCAGGCGACATAACTGGCACAAGAAGGGAGGCTCCGTGTGTCTCTGTGAACTGCTGTGCCTCTGCTGCCTAGTACAGTGCCTGGCACACAAGAGACACTTCAAAATGTGTTTGTGTATGTGTATTTTTTTAATCTGTTACTCTTCACTAAGGAAATAAAACAAGTTGGCGTTAGCAGAGTCTGTTTGTACAGATGCCATGTGGACGTAGATGATATTAGTCTAAGCATATGTAGCAACTATGCTTAGTAATGGAGACCATGTCACCAGTATTAATGGTTACTCTGAAGTGGAAGGCATCAGAATAGCAGAGAAAATGACCAGTGGGCTTATATCATTCTTTCACAAAAAACAGTTATTTGATTGATCTGCTCCAACAAACAGATTGCTTTCTAATCCTTCCTTCAAAAGGTATATTCCAATGTGGCATACAAACTTAAAAGAGAAACATTTGAAATTTGCAAACAAGTTTTAAAATTTAGGATTATCAAAGTTATCTAGTAAAGAGTAGAGTTCCTTACAAATTACAAAAGTATAACATTTTAGAAACAACGCCAAATTTTAATTAGTGAAATAATTAAAGTAACATACACTCAAAGACATAAGTATTTTGCTTAAGCTCAATGTTTGACCCATTAGGTCAACATTTCCACCCTTATTTCAGATCCATTTGGCAGTACATGTCTTCTATTTTCATATGCCCTCTTCCTCCTGATACACACAAAACAAGTGATTAAGTACTGTGTGCCTGCTGGGCATGAGTCATTCATTCCAAGAGCCCAGAGTGATGGCACACCCTTAGCCCAAGAACTAGCCTGGGTTTTGCACAGCTGCTGAAGTTTATAGGCAGTTTCACCTGTGTCATGGGGGAAGAAAAGGTGCCAGAGTATGCATAAATAATTGGATCCAAGTTTCATTTCCTGCTAAAGACAAAGGATATTATTGCTCTGAAAAGACAATCACCAAAGTCAAACAGATGAGGAAAACAGCTCTAAAATGAGGAACTGAAAGTTCCAATTGTTAGCTTATCCATGTTTCGGTTCTCAGAATTTAATCAGGCCAGGAAAACAGGTTGAGGATTAATTTGACTCAGGTGTCATCTTATACATGCAAAGTTTGATACACCTTTCTCTGAACTCTCTAATGGTAATTACTTTCCAGCATTCAGCAAGCTAAAGAGCTGGTCCAATTTAGAAGTTTAGCAGCTGGTGACTTCTCAGTGTGAACTCCAACTCAATGGTTGTTGATGCTGGCTGCTCATTACATCATCTGGGAGCTTTATAAAACTCTGATGCCTGGGCCCCACTCCTCAGAGTCTGACTCAACTTGTTAGGGCAGGGCCCTGGCACAGGTATTTTGTAAGTCTCCCCCAGGTTATTCTAATGTACAGCCAGGCTGAGAATTTCTGATCTAAATGATTATAGGTTACGAGATGGACCCTGTATCAGCAGCTTAGCTTTATCCTATCAGTCTGATTCAAAGACCATGCCTGTGCCGTGTACAACTTTAAACTCTTTCGTGTAATAAAGTACCATAAACTGCATAAAGATCTCATAATATACTGAGTTGGCAGAAAAGCTGGCGTAAGCTAGTATAAAAAATTCACTTAAAAAAATAACCCGAGGGGGTCAGCCCCACAGCCAGGTGGTTAAGTTCACTCACTCCACTTCGGCAGCCTGGGGTTCACCAGTCCCGATCCTGAGCTCAGACCTACACACCACTCATCAAGCCACACTGTGGCAGCACCCCACATAGAAGAACTAGAATGACTTACAACTAGGATACACAACTATGTACTGGGGCTGTGGGGAGAAAAGAACATAAAAAAGAGGAAGATTGGCAACAGATGTTAGCTCAGGGCCACTCTTCCTCACCAAAAAGGGGGAGGCGGGGGGAAGAGGCCTTGCATTTAAAAAAATAAATAACCCATAGAATACTTAAAAGATGAGATACCACCTAGGAAACGGATCTTAGGAATTCCTAGATTTTTCTATTAAAAAGGGGATCTAATTACAGTGCAGCAAGAGGGTCACAAAGTTTTGATCATGATCATGAAGGACATTAGAAATCATTTTCTAAACTCTACAATATCCAAACTAAAAGTTCTGACTCTCCACCTGAAGCATAAAGTCCTAACTGTCGCATCTCAAGAAAGACTCACTGCAACTCAAAAAAGAATAGAGGACAGCTAAAGAGAAAGAGTTTCTTGAAAGGTGAGGACATCATTAGGTCCGAGAGGACCATAAGATTATGAAAGGCGTGGACTTCACAGTACATTCAGAATACTGGCCTAGGAGACACACATTTAAAAGACATAGTTTGGGAATAAATGAAGGGAAGTACAGCTTAAATTACGACTTTCCAAACTCATTACCTTAAGAAGCTAAAAATATAAACAGTTGAAACAAGGATTAGATAAATCCATGGAAAATAAATTCATCACGCAACACCCAAAAACATAGTAATATGTTGGGACATATCCCTCACACCTTTGCTATCCCCAAAACTGTCCTTTGAAATAACTTTCAGAAATAGGTTTCTGAGAGCTAAATCAGAGCATAGTCAAGCTAACAGTTGGTATTTTCCTTAACTCATTTTAGAGCTCTTAAACAAGATGCACAAAATTAGCACTTCGATCATTAAAGAGATGCAACCTTTCTCCCCACCGGTGTTTAAATAATTTCATAGCTTTTCCTGAAAACTTTGCTCAAAACTAACTTACTCTCTTCCATCTAGGATTGCTGTAGAGTCATTCTGCCGCCATAGGTCCTTGCCAACAAAAAGCTCTGCCTTCAAACCCACCATCAGGTCTAGGATTTGCCATTTTAGTTGGCCTCAAACAAACTGCTTTTAGATCAAACAACAGGGGCCACAGCACAGTGTCCTGGGAGGGGAGCGGGTACAGGGGAAAACCAGTACCATTTCAATCCGGCCAGTCAGGCACTATTCATTCCTAAAAGTCAATCATTCATGAGCTTTTTTTTTTTTTTTTTGAGAACCCAATTAGAACGAAGGCATTGTGCATACAGAGAGCTATTTCTGGTATGACAAAAAAGTCCATGAAAGTCCACAAATGCAGACAGCCAGTTTCTTCCAGGCCTTTCCCTTCACAGAGAGAAACAATCACAGCCTATTTACAGCTGGAAAAAACTTCACAGAATCAAATAAAAAAGCACTTTTCTTCCCATTTTCTTCATTAGGCTTTCACCATCTTGGGGAAAAAAGACAGACAGACAGACACACACACACACACAGACCTCAAACCTCAAGCCCCAGCTCAAATCTCTCACGGAACTGTCTTAGAGCTCTATCGCAGCACCCGCCACTCTAGCATCCTGTTGGGTCTCTCCTTATCGGACCACACTCTTGCTAGGGTAGAGACTGTTTTAGCCATCTTTTTATTTTGGCACAATGCCCAGCAGACAGGTCTTCAATAAATATTTGTTGAAAGAATAAATTACTTCACAGAATTTCAGACTTGATATAATTTGGAAGCAGAAAGAAATAGAATACCAAATTAGTTAGATGGGGGAGATGGGGCTGCTGCTTTGAGAAAAGGGAGTAGTAGCTGAAAGGTGCAAAGGGGGACAGGATAAAGGCACTAGCTACTAGACATGAATTCTGGAAGTCAAGAAGCACAACCGCCCAGAAGGAGACTAGCAAATTATTGCTCTGCTAACCTCTGATCTGCCCACCACAACTGCTCCCCGGGGCAGGACGGGGGAGGTATCTTATGATGGAAATAGGCAGAAGGCAGAAAGGCAATGTATAATGATACTGTGAAGCATCATTAATATGATACATGCAAACTACTATAATTAAAAACATTATGGCATGCTTAAAATTCTCTACCGGTTAGATGTTATGACTGTTTCAAACTGCAAATACTGACCGCTGCAGAAACCGTGGAATTTGAAGTGCATGTAAGTGAAAAGCTGTTTCAGCGAACAGGATGCATAAAGAAAATGAATGTACTTTTACATATCCCACTATCAAGTGTAAGAAATGCAAAGTTAAACCTGAAAGAACCTGAAATTAAAATGAAGCAACTTAAAAAAAAACCACCAAGGAACACTGACCTAAAATCAACCCGTATTTCACTCAAGAGCCTTATAAAGCAGGCAGGCAGGCGTGGATGCTTTTTTGTGAATGAGAGCAGTTCCTTTAAGGGTCTCACAGCAACCACAAAATGAGTCATGCTAGCAGAGCACGGGATTTAATTAAGATACTCCCAGTGTGTGTGGTGATAGTACTATAACGCTAAGTGTTCAGTGTTTATCCTCACTTTCAAAATACTATTTCTATGTGATTCCTTAATGTATTATCAACAGGTACTACTAATAAAAAATATTATTTCTCTATTTTGTTAAACATACTGTAATTCAAATGCTCTTCTCAGCTCAATTATGGTCAGTTAACACATAATGATAATGACAGACTAGTTAATGAGTAATTTTTTTTTTTTTGAGGAAGATTAGCCCTGAGCTAACATCTGTTGCCAATCCTCCTCTTTTTGCTGAAGAAGACTGGCCCTGAGCTAACATCCAGGCCCATCTTCCTCTTTATACGTGGGATGCCTGCCACAGCATGGCTTTTGCCAAGCAGTGCCATTTCTGCACCCGGGATCCAAACCAGCGAACCCTGGGCCACCGAGAAGGGGAATGTGCGAACTTAACCGCTGCCCCACCAGGCCAGCCCCATGAGTAATTATTTGTTAGAGGTTCTATGACATTGCTGTTACTTCTCGGACTTAGGTTTGCAAGACTAGATTTTAAAAGGTTATATTTTAAAACATATTTGTACACAAACAGAACAGTTAACAAAAAGATACACAGATAGTAATACAGCTTATAGAGATCTAACACATTTAAAGCCCCATAAAACCACTCTAAGGCTAGACTACTGAGAACTCACTGAATCAATAGCAGAGCCAAACTCGTTGGATTTTCCAATAGTCTAGCATCTATCTGCAAACACATCAGCTAATTTTGTCATCAATGACAAGGAAGAAAATCAGCAAAAGGCAACTTTTTTTTTTTTCTGCCTAAGAGCCAGTTACAGGAAAATAAAACGTCTTCAGGTCCCATTTATTTTCATTTAAACAGAGAACAGATTTATTGAATCCCACAGACGTAAAAGTTAGTCTCCCCTTTACTGAATAAAATGACAATGAGAAAGTGGCACGATTTTTTTAGCTGGCAAGAGAAACAGCATTCTAGTCTCCTGTTCTTATATTCTCCATTTAATCCTCCCAACAACCCCTCTGCTGCTCACAGTACACAGGGTCGACCAGGGACTACAATGATTTCAATTCATTCAATATATTTTTACAGAAGACCTGCTGTGGGCCAGGTGCTGGGGATAGGGCAAAGAACCTACTTCTTCTCCACGCTTGGGCGGCTTTAGGCGGGGCAGGTAGGACAAGGGGGAGCCGTGCTGCTGGGCATCCTGGAGCAGCACCAACGCAGCCAGGTTCCCGAAAGACCAAGCTGTCAGGGCACCCTGGTTTCAGACACCTGCATCCTCTACCCTAACAGGCCTTGATATCGCCTCTCCTCTGAAGCCAGCCTTTGGCAAGTCCTGGCCTCTGCTGGCTATGGCCTGGTCAGAACACAAGCATCCAGGAATCTGTGCTTCTACAAAGGTTCCTTCCTTCTTTGAAGCTGGTTGCCCTAAAGACTTTTTCTCCACACGTTCCTTCTCTGCTTTCTATGCTCTGAAAGGATGCCTGTGAAATTGGATCTAGGACTCTCGCAAAGCTAGACTGGAAAGGCCTCGGGTTGCTCATCATTGGCTGAAATAGTTCCCATCCAGTACATATCAATGTTTCTGTTCAAAGATCTACCCTACATCTATTCCCTTCCCAAACTGCAGATGTTCCAAAAACTTAAGAAGAGAAACCGGATAAACTGACCAGAACTAGGAAAACAACTAGTCAATCTATTATATAATGGCGTTCCCTGTAACTATATAAACTACTTTTGCAAGAAAGGAGGCAGGGCAGGTGTAGGGTCAAAGAACAAACCAGTCGTCTCCTTATCAGCCTTCTCCTTCTATACAGATCCTTCCTCAATGTGTGTGCTATTACATTTGAGAGGCTATTTTATTCTCTATATAGGCTACACTACAACGACTATGATAGCTAAAGATACAGCTCAGATACTATTCATAAAAATATAAAACCTATACCTTTGCAGTCAAGAAGGTAGAAGGTTTATAAAATATTTTTGCCAACATTGAGGAAAATTTGGCTTTGGAGTCATACGAGGTTAGAAGCCTGTCTCTCCCTCCTTGTGAACTTGGATAAATTACTTCTCTATGCCTCAGTTTCCTCATCTGTTAAATGAGGATAACAATAAAATCCACCTCCTGAGATTTATTGTGAGGATAAAATTAAACAGTACATATCAAAGGCTTAGAACAGTGTCCGGTTCAGAAAAATGCTCAATAATAAAAGCTACTGTTAATGTCTACTATTAATCTCAGTTGACAATGTAAACGACAAAATATGCACAAAAACTCCCCTCAATCTGGAAACCCCAATTCCAAAAATTGTCATCAGTCCCCTTAGCAAGACTCTTTTCTTTTTTGAAAACCAAAGAAGAGGGGAAAAATCTTTGGAAAGATGAGTCTTTTCTACTTGTAAGCATAAAAATAAATGTTCATAAAAATAAACAAAGACCTGTTCAGTCCAACTGCTAGCCTGCTAGAAATACAAAATATAGGGTAAAAAGCAGTTCTGGGTATAAAACTGGTGAGCTGTTTTAAAGAAAGTGAAGACTACAAACACTAGGAAAAAACCTGATTATTCAACAACAAAAATGGTTAAGGCCGATTTTTACAATATATTTAATAATTAATTTTTAAATTAAACGCCCTATTAGATTTTGTCACAGTAATTTGTGAATTTTTAGCAAATATGATTTTTTTAAGTTCAAAATCTTTTTTTAAAGTAAATACCAAATGACATAAAACTCTAAATAAACTGAATATAGTTTCATAAAATATGACTCCTGAAGAGAGAAGTTACATGAACTTCAATTCCATAACTATAACTTCTCATTCAAAAAAGTTAACTGCATGACATACTAAAAATAATTTCATTGTCAAAAAATAACTAAGAAGAACAGGAGCACTTTTTTATGTTTCTGTGAATTCTGATGGCTAATATCCCCCCCAAAATAAATGTTCACTGGCATTCATCAGAGTATCATCTCTCTATATATAGTTTACGTGCTTATGAATGTTATGTCTCCGACAGATGCTTTACCATCTTTCATGGTCACTCAGCCTCAGAATAGAAGGACGCAGGACGCAGCAGTAAATTATATAACACCGTCATATCAGACAAAGCCACAGGACTAGTGGAAACAATTTTAAGACTGAAGCGATAAGACCATATCACCCTTCCCCAACAGAGGACTGTATTATATTCCTTTTCAAGTCTTTAAATTACAATCCTTATTCTCAGATAGTAAAACTCTTCTCTCAGGAGATTACTGAATGTTTACACAGTGCTTCATCATCTTCCCTGGTAGAAAATAAAACCACCTAAATATTTTTTTCTGGTGGTATTACCTTGCAATAGACATAAGCATCCACCAAAAACTAGTGCTTCGTATGAATACGGACTACTCGCTAACCTTAAAAAAATGGAAACACCAGAAAAAATAATACTCAACTATTCAGCTAGAAGAGAACCGAAAAACTTTAAATAATATTAAAGAAGAAAATAAATACTACCACAAAGATTAAAAAAAAAAGGTGATGCTAAATCAGATAGAAAAATAACACAAGTGGAAACGCACCTTTCCTCCTATTTTCTCACTCAGCTGGACAGAGATTTTCTGCCCCAATTAGAAGATATTCAAAATAGAGCCTAAAATGAGTAATAAACATAACTCAACATCCTATTTTTATGGCAATGATTTTACTGAGAGAAAACTTGGACTTAAATTTAATTCAGCTCAACTCAACCAAAAATGCCTGCTGCATCCTAAGCAGGCTAAAGCCCAGAGATACCGAGACGAGTAAAGGACAGGCCTTGCCGTGGGGGATGCACTGTCCACTGGGGAAGAAGGAAGCAAACTACTACTAAATGATGCAGTAAGGGCTACGATCAAAGTGTGTACTAAGTGTATAAAGCACCTGGAAACACAATAAGGGAGACCAATAATCCTGCCCCAAGGATGCAGGCTAGGGTGAGCACAGGGTCGGGGTGGCATCTGAGCTGGTCTTAACAGAAGAAACTAGGCAGGAAAGGGGGCTAACAGCTACAAACATTCCAGGCTAAGGAAATGGTCATTTTAACCTTAAATATCAATACCGATTCTTCTGATATCTCTAGGAAGAGGAAAAGTCCTGTTTCAGGTTGTTCAATAGCCACAAATACAAAAACCACAATACCCATAGGCTTTTTTGGCCTCATAATACTCCCCTTTGGAAAAGAAAAGGACGTGGTCAGTAACCTATTCAGCTGAATATCGAATAGGAAACAACGAATGATTTTAAATGCTTTCACTACAAACAGCAGCAAAACTGGCCATAAAAGTAGAGGGGAAAGGTCCAATAAAATGAAGAGACGTTTAAATGATTCTACAGAAAAAGACCTGAAAGGCACTTACCCAATTAAAATACCATTATGAAACAGCCATTCTTTAGAAAGGACCCTGAGTGCTGGACAGGACAAACTATCTGGTCAAGTCCAGTGCGCGGGATTCCTTCTTCACTGGCTCTACTTACACACCTGCACATCAAAATGGTTACAATGGCCTCTTCCCTCCTCCAGACTTTCGGTCTACTTCAGTCTGTGATCTGCAACATCCTAAGAAGTGAGATAGACTTAACTGCAAGGACTACAGCCATTTCATTCAGAAAAAAGTTTTTAACTTGACTTCTGATGTGGACTTTGGATATATAAACAGTTATTCAAACCGTATGGCTTAAGCCAAAATGCAGGCCCAGGTTACTCTGTGAATACTCCTTGAAGGCTTAATTCTGCGGCTCATCTGAGCTTCTTCAGCTCACAAGTAAGGGTTTAAATGCTTCCATTGAAGGGTAAGTCCCCAGCCAGCATCCTAGAAGAGTGGACTCACTTCACTTAAGGGGAATAAGTTATCCCCAAGCAGCCATCAGGATTGGAGAGCCTACTGTGTACAAGAAACAATCTTAAACCAAACAGAATGACACACAATTCACATAAAGCCCGTCCTATTCAGAGGACTCTGGTGGCCACACCTTGTTCCATATAATTCCACCAGCTTGGATCATCTCTGTCAATCTTAGGGGCTAAGAGAAAGGAGACAGCAGCCCTACAAATGGAGACAACCCAGTCCACTCTATTTATACACACCTCAACTCACCGCCGAATACACAGATGACCACCCAGAGATTTCCTGAGCATTTTTCATGCAACACGTCAATTCTTGTCCTCCAAGACGTACATGAACAAAT